ATTTTCTTGTAGCGTGCAGCTGTGATGGGTTGTGTACAACCTAATAGTGTGTCAGAATGGTATATAAATAAAATCCTGGTTGGAGGTGAGCTGAAGTGCTCAGGTAGAGCCGCTGCTCCTCCCCATCAAAAAGCCTTAACTGAGGTGTTTCAGTCATCTCATTAGGACACTTCCTGGATGCCTCCCTCTGCAGGGTTTCAGGCAGGAGGCGGCCTCAGGGCAGACCTAGAGCTCACTGGAGGGATTTAAGTTTGGGTGGAAATGATCACTTTCACATTGTGGTATAACCTCTACAAAATACCACACAGTATGTGGTATTACAAGGGCAGGATGAGTAATTAATAATTAACAAAGAAACGGCTGCTTGTGAGTTTTTACATGCATAAAACCCTCAGCTGTTCTGACGCACTGCCCACTCTCAGAATGACTTTTGTCTCTTAAGACAAACAGGTTGAAAAACGTTCAAATTCAGCCTTTTTAGGGTTTGAAGTTTTAAAATAATCCGACTCCTAACAYGGCTGCATCAACGAATCTTAAGGTACCATAAAAGGTCCTAACAAGGTGACAAAAACCCCAGGAACAACCATTAGCATCTTAAACAAAATTTCCAGTTATCAGCTGGTTTGAAGCTTATAAAACAATTGTTTTTAATTTTTAATTCAATCTTTCTAATTTAAAGTGTAAAACTGACTTTCATTAAGATTTTTAATAAAACGTTAGAAAACATGAAAACCAATTCAAGCTAAGTTCTTTATGCACACGTGTTTTAATTTAAATTTTAATAACATTTATTTCTTTATTTTTATTTGTTCAGACCCATCCTTTGCTCATCAAACACACCTGGAGTAAAACAAAGATGCATAAATTACCAAGAGGGTCCACAAAAAAAAAAAAAAAAAAGAGGAAGGGGAAGTGTTGCTTAAGAGAAACGAGGAAATTAAATTCCCTTGTGCATTAAAATACTTCCTCCCTGCCACTAACCTTGTGTCGACTCATATCTGCTGCGCTCGAGTCCGCTTCGACGTCTCCAGCTTCCTCTCTGCGATCGTCGCCGGTCGACTGGCTGCTGACCGCAGACAAAAAAAAAAGTTAAAGGTTAAACTGTCAAGCAGGGTCCATTTTCTGATTCTTGGTTCTAAGATTAGACGGCGACAAAAAGTATGTGATCAGGCAGCTGCTGCAGTTTGTGACACAGATGTTGAAAGATGGACTGTGTCTATGCAAAGTTTGGTCTCAGAGATGCTAATTAGCCTTCCAGCTCCTCCCACACAGAGAGAAAACACCCATTTGACTAGCAAATATGGCCACAGTCACAGGGAAAGGCTCAAACTCAGTCCAGTAGTAGCTTCACCTGCAGCCGGGGAGACTTTAAAAAACATGAAATAAAACATTCAATCTGTTCTATGAAAATCAGCAGGAAGATGGAGGAGGATGCACAATATGGTCTCCAACTACATCAACTACACAAAGAATAAAATTATAAATTAAAGTTTTAGGATTGAATACATATCACCTGCTGCCTTTCATAGCAGAGAATACAGCACCTCAACACTTTCACGTTACAACCTGCAGGCTTTAGCTTTTAGCTACAAATTCACCCATTTTAGCCCAAAAATACTGTATTGCTAATTTCAGTTTCCAGCCATGGTTCTGCTGGTTTTAGCTTCCAGCCATGGTTTTGTTGTTTTAAGCTTTTATTTTTGCTTGTTTTTGCTTTCATCAGCTACTGCTCTGCAGGTTTTAGCTTTCTGCTACTGCTCTGCAGGTTTTAGCTTTCTGCTACTGCTCTGCAGGTTTTAGCTTTCTGCTACTGCTCTGCAGGTTTTAGCTTTCTGCTACTGCTCTGCTGGTTTTAGCTTTCTGCTACTGCTCTGCTGGTTTTAGCTTTCTGCTACTGCTCTGCTGGTTTTAGCTTTCTGCTACTGCTCTGCAGGTTTTAGCTTTCTGCTACTGCTCTGCAGGTTTTAGCTTTCTGCTACTGTACTTTTGGTTTTAGCTTTCTGCTACTGTACTTTTGGTTTTAGCATTAAGGTGATACTTTGTTTTAACTTTTAGATACTGTTCTGCTTGTTATGGCAACTCAATACTATCTAGTTAATTTTAGCCACTAACTAACACTTTATGACCTCCAGGCTGGACACAGCCGACGATCTGTTCACTGGTTGATGAGACTTTTTGCTAACTCTAGAGTGATCATTCTTCAGTAATTTTCATGATGACTCAAAGCTCAGCTAAAAGTCAGGGTTGTATTTTTGGACACTCTTGTTTTACCTGTGAGACATCATGCTGAGTGTCTTTGTAAACAAAGCTTCATGATGCTACACACACTTATCTAAATAAAGGATAAATTCAGGTGAGTTTTAACGTTAGAGACCTTCAGTGAGGTGTTCGTGTTCAACTATCAGTTCACCTCTCGTCTGGACTCGGCTCAGGTTGGGGTGTCGCTCTGCTGGGAGAATCCATGTCTGCTGCTGCAGAGTCCACAGGTGTGAAGGTTYGCTCCTGCTCGGTCGGTGGGCTCGGAGTTTGAGCAGAAGAACCAGAACAGATCTCTGCAGCTTCACAGGAACCCTCAGCTGCTGAGACAAGAAGAAATCTGAAGCTATGAAGCAAACTCCAGTTCAGCAACGAGGTTTTWTCAGAATCTTCRTTATTATTTAATTCACACATTTTAACACAGTTTAGAAGGTTTGTTGTGTGAATTCTTTACCTTTGAACTAGCTCTGCTAATTTTAGCCTTAAGCTGCTCTTTTGCTGATTTTAGTTTAGCTTTAACTCTTTTGCACAACCTAGCTTGTGTTCGGCTCATATGAGGACCTGTTCTGCTTGTATCAGCTTGTGTTCGGCTCATATGAGGACCTGTTCTGCTTGTATCAGCTTGTGTTCGGCTCATATGAGGACCTGTTCTGCTTGTATCAGCTTGTGTTCGGCTCATATGGGGATCTGTTTGGCTTGTATCAAATTGTTTTCGGCTCATTTTTTTCCTAAACAGCTCAACTTCAGCTCTTTTTTCACACCACATCTCCACAGAAAAAGCAGATTTTTTTTCTAGCTCAGAGTTTGATCTTTATTCATCAGGATTTACAGAAGTTTTCTCTGCTGTAAAGAAGCAACARCTGAAGTCAGGAAATGAGTCACACTTCGGTTAACGTCTGAACGCACAGCTTAACTGACATTAGATGTGTAAGAAGAAGAAAACGAAACAGAAACAGAGGGGAGGACTAAGTCTTACTGTTTTCTGAGTGGGACGGATCAGGGAGAGCAGCCGCCTCTGGGTGTTGTTTGCTGACAGCTTGTGTGTGGGCGCTCTCTGGTACCGCTGCCTCTTCCTGAAAACACACAAGCAGAAACACAACGATAAACATTCACAACTAAAAAAGGAACAGTGAGAGGAGACAAAACACTTTAAACATTTCAAACAGCTGCAGGATGACGACAAGACAGAGTTCATCAGAGACACTGATCATCAGGTGTTCAAAAGTTAACATGTAATCTGATTACAGGTTTTATACTGAATTAAATACATGTAATCTGGTTACAGTAATCTGACTACAAGTTTTATAATAGATTAAATACATGTAATCTGGTCACAGTAACCTGACTACAAGTTTTATATATGTAATCTGGTTACAGTAATCTGACTACAAGTTTTATACTGAATTAAATACATGTAATCTGATTACAGTAATCTGATTACAAGTTTTATACTAAATTAAATACATGTAATCTGGTTACAGGTTTTGTACTAAATTAAATACATGTAATCTAGTTACAGTAATCTGACTACAAGTTTTATACTAGATTAAATACATGTAATCTGGTTACAGTAACCTGACTACAAGTTTTATATATGTAATCTGGTTACAGTAATCTGATTACA